ACAGGAATTTCCAAAGGTCTATGGAAAGTCTCTAACATGTAAGCCCCAAACAGACAAAAAAAAAAAAAAAAAAAAAAAAAACAATTTAAAAGAAAATTAAAGCTCTTGGAAATTAAAAAAGCCTTATGAAAGAAATGAAAAAACTCAAGAGAAGGTTGAAAGGTAAAATTAGGGAAATCTCCCAGAAAGTAGTGTAAAACAGCAGAGAAATGGGAAAGAAGCATCAGCAATTAAGTACCAGTCCAGACAGTTCTGCTCCTAATAACAGTTCTAGAGAGAATAAGGAGACGATATAAGGAAGGAAATAAATTTTTAACAATTTCCAGAAGGGAAGGACATTGGGCTCCTGGTTGAAAGGACCCAGTACAATGGACGAAAGTAGCTCTATAACAACAAACATCACTGTGAAGTTTCAGAACTCTGAAGATACAGATTCTACAGGCTTCTGAGAAAAGCCCAATTACATAACAAAGTATCAGGAGTCAGAATGGTTTCAGATTCCCAAACAGCACAATTTAAAATGGAAATTACTGGAGAAAACATATTAAACTTCTGAAGTAGAATGATACGCAACTAGAATTCTATGCCCAGTCCAGTCAAGCTATCAATCCAAGCGGGAGTAGAATATATTTCTAGACATCCGAGTTCTCAGAAAGTTTACATCCCACATACCACATCTCATAGATTACCAGAGGATGTAATGGGCAAACATGTGAGTAAAAGATACGGGAAATGGCAATTCAACTTGGGATGGAGAAGAGGGAATTCGCAGGATGACAGCTGGGTTCCAGAACCAGTGAGCAACCAGTCCAGGGTGGAGGTCTGTGATTAAAGAGACGCAGAAACATTGAAGGCAAGGCTATCATGACCAAGACATTCACTGCCTTTGTAATCTCAGGACACTATATCCAAGGAAATCTGCCATCCATTCTGCTCTGGACTTGGCTCTCTTGGGCCTGTTGCAATAAAGTGCCTGCTTGCTCCTTCATAGCCTGATGTCTAGATCTATTGAATGCAATCATTTCACCGCATAGGAAGACTCTGCATTGACCTTGAGAGATGGAGGTAGGTCACGGTGAGCTTAGAAACAGACAATATAAAGCAAGCATACAATCCTCAAGGCCAGTGGTTCTCAACCTTCCTGATGCCTCCTAATGCTGTGACCCTTTAATTCAGTTCATGTTGTGGTGACCCCCAACCATAAAATTTTCATTGCTACTTCATAACTGTAATTTTGCTAGTTATGAATCGTAATGTAAATATCTGATATGAGGATGTATTTTCATTGTTACAAAGGGGTCCCGACCCACAGGTTGAGAACCGCTGCTCTAGGCATTTTTCTGCACATCCTAGATGTCCCAACTGTCCTGACTTGTGTTTCCCAGGCCTCGCTTATCACCTTGTTCATTAACATCAGCACATGGAGCTCCTGTAAATTCTAGAAGCAGAAGTCACGCCCGGGACTACTCAGTTCATTGTTTCTAGGACCCCTTCGATCTAACACCAGCAAATAGTGTCTTCACAAAGCTAGGTTTGTGCTTGTTTCTCAGTTGTCCAAAAATAAGATACTGTCTTTAGGGATACCACACAGTTGGTTAAAAAAAAAAAAAAGGAAAAAATAAAATGAAAAAGGAAGGAAATGCTTAATACCACTTGAGTATCCCCTATCCAAAATGCACGGGACCATAAGTGTTGTGAATTTTGGATTTTTTCAGGTTTTAGAATATTTCCCCATGAGGTATCTTGGAGACAGGACCCGAATCTAAACACAAAATTTGTTTTATATACTATCTATACACATAGCCTGCAGCTAACTTAATACGAACTATTAATAATTCTGTGCACGAAACCAGTTGTGTTAAGTACTGTTAAGTACCTATTTGAGGAATTTTTCACTTGCGGCATCATGTTGGCAGTCAAAAGGTTTTGGATTTCGGAGCATTTTAGATTTTGGATTAGGGATGGTCAACCTGTTTAATAGCCTGGATAGTTCCTAAGAGTTACCTAAATAAAAGTAAGGATGGACCCGCAATGACTATCTTTGTTCCATTTCCTAACGTGAATAGTAGGGTGTGCTGTTTACCTATTCGCTCATGTTCCACAATTAAAATATGAGGCCATTAGAATGTTTACCTTCTCTTGTCTATAACTAGGGCAAATAAGCTTGGTAAAACACACCAATATCAACACACAAGCAGCAGCAACATAAAAATACTGAAAATGTAACAATGAAGTTACAAAATGGCTAGGAGTTCTGTCCTTCGAGGGAGCTAATCTGACATCACAACGGAAGTGTGGCTCTAGGGCATTATGGGTAATAAACACAATGGTAATGGCATTTAAGATCCTTAGACTCCACGGTGCTCAAGTGGTGCTCAGTGGTAAGCGGTAGGACACTCGAAATGCTGGGCAGCAAGAGCGAGCTGCCCCTCCCCATCAGCCACACGACCAAGACAGTAAAACCACAGACATGCTATAGCGCACTGTGCTGCCAGATGATTGGCCCAACTGTGAGCTAGTAAGTGTTCTGGGCACATTTAAGATGGGCTAGGCTACGATGTTTGGTAGGTTAGGTGTATTACGTGTGTTTTCAATTTACCATATTTTCAACTTAAAATGGTTTCATTGGGACCATTTCACACTGAGTAAATCAAGGAGCATCTGTGGTACTAAAATATGATAAAGTGGTTTTAAACTAATCGTGGGCGGCGCTTAAATCAACTAGGTTTAAAATACAACAAAATGCTCGTAATTTTGCCCCCTGTCTGGGATCTCCTAGGCCTTTCTTTCTCCTCGCTAACTCTGGTAAATCTAGGTCCTAATGTTCCCGCCATGTTTAAGATTTCTTTTCTGAAATCTTTTCCCGGCTCTTCATTCATTCACACACTCCTTGGTGATTGTACACCAAATGCCCTATCGTTCCAGAGCCTGGCATTAAAGCAGTACACACAATTTTCCATCCTCAAGAGAGGTTTGTTCTAGTGAGAGGAGATGGAAAAAACGGTCCCCAGAGCCAACAGGTGTTCTGGAGAACACAGAGCAGGCAGGGAGGATAAAGGATGCAGGGGAGGGATGTGCGTGCTATTTTTATAAATGTGCTCAGGGAAAAGCCTATGGTGAAGGTGCCAACTGAGCACCAACATTAAGTTTTGTCTACAGTAAGAGCACTTCAGGAGGGACAGTGAGTACCAAGACCCTCATGGTCCTAACCTACTATCACAGAGATGGTATCATGGAGTTATCCTTCACTGATACACCCTGTCCCCTTAGATGATGATGTTCCTGAGACATAAACCCTCTTAACTGTCTGGACTCATGTTCAGTTCCCAAACCATTGTTTATAGATTAGAACACATTAGAAAACTCATTCAAAATATTATGAAGTGGTTCTCCAGAACAAAACTAAGATCTTTGAGTCTGAAATAAAATCAGTCTAAACCACAATACACTTTATCAAGATTTGTGGCTTAGTCATGTTCTGTGAGTTGCAAAATACATAATATGTGGACTTAAACCCACTGGGTCAGATGAAATCAGTAGCTCCTCAGGTGAAATTTGAATCACACCACAACAAAGTAACATCTAATGCCTTTAAGACTCTAGCTGGTATTGAGGACCTTTAACTGAGAAAGTTACCAAAATAATGGGTCAATTCTTCTAGGATTTATACTTTAAATACCAAAATAAACCCTTACCTGATTCTTTACAGCACAAGCTGGCCTTTAAGATACACTTGCCTCAGCATCCTACTTCTGCAATGACAAGCTCTTCAGCTAAGTTTTTTTTTTTAGTCAATGTTGGTAGAACACCTAATGTGGTCAGTTTTTATAGCTCTTAAAAATTCTTGGCTTGGAACCCATAGCTCAGGGAGTAGGGCACCAGCCACATACACCGAAGCTGGTGAGGTTCGACCCTGGCCCAGGCTTGCTAGACAACAATGACAATTGCAACCAAAAAATAGCTGGGTGTTGTGGCAGGTGCCTGTACTCCCAGCTATTTAGGAGACTGAGGCAAGAGAATCGTTTGAGCCCAAGAGTTTGAGGTTACTGTGAGCTGTGATGCCACAGCACCCTACTGAGGGTGATGACATAGTAAGACTGTGTCTCAAAAAACAAACAAACAAAAACAATAATTCTATAACAGTGTACTCATATTTAGACTGATAACGTATATAGAAGTTATCTACCATCTTTGGAAAAGCCACAGTCATGATTAGAGATGACAATGCTTTCTAATAATTTAGATATCAAATGTAGCTCACCTGCCAAAAATGGTTCTGCCCCCGACATTCTGTTCCTAACTTGGAACAACAGTGTCCACAGATTTTGACAGCCCAGTCCACACTGGTTAGGGACAAATGAATAGGGGCCACTAATTATTGTAAGAAGTCACAGTTTACCACATAATTAACAATTGTGATGGCGTCAATTGCCTAAGCCTTGAATAAGTTTAAAGAAATTAAAAACAAAAACACTTTTCAAGGAGTTTTCAACTATGTATCTTAAATCAAGTACAAATGGTTCCAAGTATTAAATAATGTTGAAAAGACAAGCTTTCCAGTTTAAATTGGAAGTGAGTATTTCTGATTTTGAGCAAGGGAGTCACTGAAGCCAAAGAAGCTTTCTTGATTATTTCTTCTACTATTTGGTTTCCTGCCTTCCCTGTTCCCAAAGGCAAATTATCCAGTAATATAACAGGAAATATGAGTCCTAACAACCTTAATATTCAGTTTTACCATCCTTTTGAAATAGTTCTTTGTATACAGTGAGGGAAAACTTAGTTTCCTACCAGTGGAACCTTCTCAGGAAAAATCATCTTACCACTGAACAGAATAAATTCAGCATTTCAAAACTGAGTTTAACCAGGCCACTTCTCTACTTACAACAAATTAAACCATGTAATTCCTGAAAAGGCGTGGAGAGGTTTCAAAGAAATATTTGAGAACATCTGCAAAAAACAACTATGACAACCATACAAATAAATGAATACACCAAGTCAAGTTATGAAGATATTTTCCTTGAATTTATCCAAACATTTCACATTTATGAAGTCATTTATCTCAGAGCAAATCTATGCTTATAATATTAAACTTAAAAATATTACAATATTTACAAGACAGATGGTAGGAGAAACTTACTGGTAGAAAAATAATACAAATATTGTATTTTTCTCTTCGGCATCTGCCAGTAAAAAGGCAGAACACATAGTTTTATATTTCCGGACATCTAAGTTGGTTATTGAACATAATGGTGAGCTCTTAATAGGAAATACATTATCCTACAGATTCCACCATCTATAGCTTCAGACCCTCAACATTCTTCTTCAAGTTCAGCAGCTCCTTTTCCTGCCGTCTTTTCTCCAGTTTAAATGCCAGTTTATTAGCTTTCTTCTCCACTCTTCGCTCCTGTACAGGAATATACTCATGTTATTCCAATCTTTAAACTGAAGTAGACTTTTTACAAAAGAAAATCCCACTAACTTCTCCTCCTCTGGCTCTCTGTGAATCTCACGTCTGAAAATGGATTTTACCTTGCGCTCTTCTTTTATCGCTTGCTTTCTTGCTCTTTTATCCTCTTTGCTTTCGTTTTTAGAACGTGGTTGGGTTGACACCTTAGGCAGATCACTGCCATTAATCATCTGCATTCGCTCAGCTTGCTTTGCTGTGAGTCCTTTTGGGGGTAAGACATTGAGTGGTATTCCTGTTTTAGAAGATATCTGAATTTGTTTGGGCTGAAATAAAGATAAAATGGCGCCGGAGTCATTTCTCATTCCTATTAAAAAACAGCTCACTAATGACACACTGTTGGTGCCTTTCCTAACAGCACTGCTAGGCACCCCGGGGTAAAGTTACTTTGAGAAAATCTGCACACTTTATTTTCTGCACCACATACTTAAATTCGCTCCGCACATTCGGACTTACCTTTGGTTGATATTTGATAAGCTGTGGATGGTTGTATAAATTGGAGTATGTGCCTAAAAAAACAATTATGTATCAGTAAGCACACTTTCAGTTCAGCAACATCTTACTGATTTCCTACTATATTCCTGACCTTGATGTTTTCACAGCACAAAACATGGAAGTCTCATAAATGTTTTATAAGTTGCTTACAACTTAGTAATAGAATTATTACTCTTTCAGGCTGGGCGTGGTGGCTCACACCTGTAATCCTAGCACTCCGGAAGACTGAGGCAGATTGCTTTAGCTCACAGGTTCGGGACCAACCAAGGCAGAGTGAGACCTTGTCTCTAAAAGTAGCCAGGTGTTTTAGTGGGTGCCTGTAGTCCCAGATACTTGGGAGGCTGAGGCAAGAGAAGCGCTAGAGTCTAAGAGTTGGAGGTTGCTGTGAGCTATGATGCCATGGCACTCTACTGAAGGCAACAAAGTGAGACTCTTGTCTCATATAAAAAAAAAATATACATATATATATACACACACACACACATACATATATTACTCTTTCTAAATCATCTTCACAAATTCCCTAAAAGCAAGTTAACTTCTACTTGTATATGCGCCTTAATGAAGTTCATATTCTTTATACTTGACCTTCATACTTTTAATAGTAAAGTGACCATTAATATACTTACTGCAAATGGATTCACAATCCCACTTTTCTTTGGCTTCCTCGAGAACTACAGTAATAATTTCTTCTCCCTCAGACTCATCAAGCTCATTTATTGGTAGGTCTTGATCCTCCAGGGGTTCAAGAGTATCCAATTTTACACAACTTCGGTTGAGATTTAAAAAATGAAGACAGAGGATGAGAGAAAAAAACACCACCCATCACTATACAATATGTCACTTAAAGTGGACTTAAAGAGCTATGAAAATCACAGCAATTTTTATAAACCATTTTTCCTGTGCTCCTGTCATTTCCTGTCAAGTTTTGTTCTACGCAGTCTTGCCTCTTCCTTCTAGCAGGTTATGGAAACTCACTGTGCTTTTTAAGCAAGATTGATCTGTATCTTTGCAAAGTTATAATACATTAAACAAAATGGCAGCCTTCCTAAGAAAATAGGTTTTAAGCCCAGAAAAGCATTAGCCTGTGAGCATCTCCAAAGTATAGCAGAACCTCCACAGCTGACCACCTTGCTACGATGACCACCACCAGCCACGCCCCACATGTACATATCAGTTCTTCATGCTAACCACCTCTGCATTTTGACCAGTTTGTTACAGGTCCTTGGGATGGTCAACTTGAAGAGGTTCTACTCTATTCAAATAATATGCTCAAATTATGTTGCCCCTTGTCCTGCTGTGGGATGTACATATTACAGTGATCACGGAACATCAGATCTTTTAAGGACATTTAAACACTTCATTAGTTTCTCTCGGAGAAGAGTCACCTTAGATGCCAATTTACCAAAATAATTGGCTGGTCAATTCCACTAATCCAGTTGGAGAGACAAATCTTTATCTTTCCATAAGTTATTCATATCTATTTCTCAGAATGCCTGGCATTTTAAACAATGAAAAGTATGTCCTTATGTCAGAATGAGTCTTCAACTGGAATGTGTCCTCAATTTCCCACTCTAATCCTCAGTCATTCTGCCCTGACTCTTCTCAAGTAAAAAAACAGGCTGGGTGCATTGGCTCATGCCTATAATCACAGCATTTTGGGAGGCTAAGGTGGGAAGACTACTTGAGGTCAGAAGTTCAAGATCAGCCTGGGCAATATAGTGAGACTCCATCTCTACTCCATCCCTCCCCCGCAAAAGGTTGGGAGTAGTGGCTCATGCTGTAATCCTAGCACTCTAGGAGGCCAAGGCAGGAGAATCAATCACTTGAGGTCAAGAGTTCAAGACCAGACTAAGCAGCAATGAGACCCCATATCTATAAAAAATAGAAAAATTAGCTGGATGTGGTAGCATATGACTATAGTCCCAGGTACTTGGGAGGGTGAGGCAAGAGGATCTCCTAAGCCTAGAAGTTTGAGGCTGCAGTGAGCTCTGATGAGGCCACTGAACTATAGTCCAGGCAACAGGGCAAGACCTTGCTTCAAAAATAAATAAATAAATAATAAAAAATTAGCCAGGCATGGTAGTACATTCCTATAGTATTAGGTACACATGAGAGGCTGAGTCAGAATCACTTAAGCTCTGGAGCTGGAGGCTGTAGTGAGCTATGATCCTGCCACTATATTCTAGCCCAGGCAACATAGACTGTTTCAAAAGAAAAAAAATTACATATATATGCACAGAAAAGTAGTTCTCAGCATGTTTCTGCTATCACAATCCACTTGACAACTCTTACTACCAAAATGTAGGCAAAAGAGATGAGCAGATGAGTTTTACATACATATCTATATAAGCCAATGTTTATGAAAAAATGTCATTTTCTTAATACTGAATCTGACTAGGTAGATTTTTTCCCTCAATTCAATTGTAGAACTATAAACCTTATTTGGAGACTTAACAAGCAAAAATCAGTTGAACAAGAAAAAGAAGTCACCGTACTTCTCTGCCTTCTCTTTGTAGTAGTCATTCAAAACTTCTTGCAACCGATTGCTGTCTATTTGAATGGAACCTTCCAATTCAGCATTATCCAGAGCTCCAATTTCATCATCATCATATTGCTCATAAAACTTGCATATGAACAGACAAGACAGAATGAAAAGAAATGTACTTAAAACTACAGCATTTAAATGTTTTAACATTAATTTTATTCTTACACATTATTTAAGCATTATCATAAGATCACAACTACCATTAACACATCAGCGGAGATTTAACACTGTAACAATAGCACATGAAAGACATTTCTGCCTCCTACTTTAATATTTATATTTAGACTAAAAATAAGCTTCCATTTAACATGTAAATAAAAGGAAGTTATTCTTCTTAGCTCAGAGGACAAAATTCTAGGCAAATATCTTTACCTCAAAATGTTTTGAAGATACTTTCAAATTCCTTGGTTATACAAAATAAAAGATGTTTACTGAGGGGTCTCCTGCTAATGTATAAATTTTGTTCTTATTTTAGACGGTATTTTCTGAATCATTCAAATGTTGATAACACTGTTGGGCTTTGTTAAATAAGAAGAGAGTGACATATTACCTGAAGAGTGAGATTATTGGCAGTTAACAGTGTGTCTCTGCCTCTCTTAAGAGGGGGAAACCCACTGTCTAATGACCAGGTAGCAAGGTTAGAACCTTTATCTTAGATCTACTTTGAAGTGACCATTCCTTCATTCATCATTTATTAAACAGTTTGAACCCCAGTATATGCCAGACACACTTTGGGGCTTGGGAAGTTAAGAAACTCTGCCCTTGGGGAGCTCACGTTCAATTCAGAGATAAACCTATATAGAGCATAACAAAGAAGCACCTCAGAGATTACGTGAGGAGGTGTCAAGTGCTGAAGCCCAACAGGATGGGTGGGATAGGGGCCTGCTTAGACAGGCTACACTACAGGATGGGTTCATAAGCCCAGGAGCTAGTCTGTCAAAACAGCATCAAATACGTCACATCACAAGGCTTTTAAAGCATCCTAGTCTCTATTTCCATTCTGTTTCTTTGTGTTAATTATGCCTGAAAACTCCAGATAAGAGAAAGTGAAAGAAATAGAATTTTGTTTATGCTCAGACCATTGTTTCAGGACAAGAGCATAACCTTGAGGACTGTAGATAATTCAGAATCAAGAACTCAAAGAGGAAAGGCAGATTTGATTAGCTAACTCCTCTTGACCTACACAATGTTCTTTCCAGAATGAAAACTAGGGTGGTTTTATGCTGCTTCAATAAAGAGATGGTCTGTTTCTAATACTGAGAGTTTTAGCTTTTGGTCACCATCTTTTTCTTTTTTAATAAAATTTACCAAGAGTTGGTAGTAACATGTCCTTTATTTTGGAAACTTACCTTCTCAAACCTCTCATCATGCAGGGTCAGCTGCTCATTTCTCCTCATGATTGAGGAAGTCATAGAATACTCTGTGAAGCGACTTTTCGTTTCCTCTTCCCAGAACAAATGATTTTCTAGAGTTCCACGAGGTTTTCCGGGGACGTCCTCCTCTGACAATGGCCCCACAGAGTCACAGTCATCATCACTGCTACCTCTCCCTTTCTCATCGTCCACATCTTCCCATTCATCTTCATCCTCAGATTTCCTAAAGCCAAACAGTCACAAATTGCCTGTTAAAAGAATTTAAAAAATAACAGAGCAAAACAACTTTATGCAAGTAACACTGCAGTACATTTCAGAAAGTGTTCCTGTACCAGACAAGTTATCTGGTATGGTGGGAAAAGTAATGAAGTAGCAATTAGGTCCCTTGGACTTCAGTCGCTATCAACAGCTTGTAAAAGACCTCGTATCTCACATTTTCTGCTCTAAAATACAGAAGACTCAGACTAAATGCTTTCAAAAATCTCTTCCAACTGCAGTGTTCAATGGCTACTATCCCACTAAAGAATTAACAGGTGATTGCCGCTTCACAATAAACCACACGTACTGCACGTCCACTCCCTCCTCCTCTGCTGCTGGCTTATTGGCTTGAAGAATAAAGTCATCTTCAAGCAGATTATCTGGATCATCAAAGTCAAAGTCATCATCAAGAGCTGCAACAATGTCAGGATCAAAATCCAATCGAGGTCCTAGAAGGTAAATAAACATTGAGCAACAATTCCCAAGAAAGCACAGTTCATTCACTTAATAATCCAAGAGTCTACAATATGCCAAATTCTACTAATGTACTGAGGACAAAAGAATAAGAACTTTAAGAAGTTCAGTCTACTGCTTGGCACCCGTAGTACAATGGTTACGGCACAAGCCACATACATGGGGGCTGGCAGGTTCAAACCCAGCCCGGGTCAGCTAAACAACAATGACAATTGCAGCAAAAAAATAGCCTGGTGCTGTGGTGGGTGCCTGTAGTCCCAGCTACTTGGGAGGCTGAGGTAAGAGAATCGCTTAAAGCCCAAGAGTTTGAGGTTGCTGTGAGCTGTGACGCCACATCACTCTACCAAAGGTGACAAAGTGAGACTCTGTCTCAAAAAAAAAAAAAAAAAGTTCAGTCTAGTGAAAAATAGACATAAAGGTAAATAATTCCAAGACAA